AAAAAAAAAAAACGCCATTGCGCTTGACCTCCAGAGTTGCCGGCGTGCCTGTTCTGGCGCTTTCCGGCGTGCGTCTGTGTCCGCGCTGTCAAAAGTGCCATAAAGTACCGCGGGATGGGTCCGACCCCCTTGATCCGGTTCGACAGATCCATCAGTCCCCGTTTGATTCCACCGACCCATTTCTGCACCCTTGCATCTGTCAATACATTGTACGAAGCCTACCGTGTTCCCCTCCGAGAGGGGAGGGGGGCAACCCGCAACACTGGAAGGCCGTTTTAGGGTTCGGGTGCCTTGGATTTTGAAACCAGGATCCCGCAGTGACGAGTCATCCAGTTAGCAACTACAGACTGAACCACTCGAGAACCAGTCCAACTCATGAATTTGATTCCAACCGCCCTCTGATTCCACCGGACCACCCCTCCACCCACCTGTCGACCCGCTCTATCAATCTACCAACTGTCCGTACAACCAATCCAATCCCTCTCAAGCTGTGGCAGCGGCGGGTTTCGGTGTCTTTATGAAGTTCCACCATAGCACGGGACCTCAACCAGGATCCCAAGGTGGCAAGGCGCCAATCCACCTGTCCGGGTCACCATCTCCAGACTGAATCGCCTCGGAACAACCAAATTCCCAATGCGGCAGCCATTAAAATGTGCATCTGTCATGTATCTAAGCATCCAGCCACAAAGGCAAACACCCTCCCACCCTAGCGGGGTTGCATTAGCTTCAAGTCATGGCCCCAAGGCGCTGCCCAAGCCACCTGTGCATATGCATCTTTTTGTGCGGGTGTTCGTTTCGGTCATCTCTCTAGGGAATTGATTCTCGCTCTCATTATCCCGCATCCCTTCGCCTCGACAAACGCATCGTGGCTCCGCAAACGGCCAAGGCAGCAAAGCCTTCTTAGCTTCGTCCGCTTCTTTGCTCTTGGGGAATGCGCGGGTGTGTGCGCCCGCGCACCTGGGCCGTCGCGTCGTGTCGTGCGTGTCTGCGGTGTGTCTCAAGGGATAGCGGGTGGGCGGCGGAGTAAGATGAATGAAGGGGCCAGCTGGAAGCGATATGCTAGCGTGAGTGTGTGCGCGCGAATGTGTGTTGCATGTGTGTGTGTGTGTGTGTGTGTGTGTGTGTGTGTGTGTGTGTGTGTGTGTGTGTGTGTGTGTGTGTGTGTAGCGGTAATATTCGGGGCCTTTCATAATGATTAAAGCCTTCATTAAATTTTCATCCCAACCTGCTGTTTGCTACTAATGGCCTTTGTGAGCCGCGCAGCCAAACAATAGCCAGCCGGGACACACGGGAGAAGGATTTTGATCTCGCCCTCAATACCGCCCCCTTCCCTTTCCAGTGTCCCCCCCACCACCACCTCCTTAGTCCCTTTCCCTCTCGCCCGGTCCCGAAAGCGGTTTTGCCGGCCCGTTTCATTTGAACCCGGAGCCGACGCCTCGCCACTAACGGGCGGGGGTCTGTGAAGATGCCTGATGTTCTCGATCACTTCTTAACTCTCCTTTCCTCTTTTCATTTCTCTCTCTCTTTTTGCCCTCGCTGACTCATAAAGATCCATTATTGTTTTGGGTTTTTTTTTTCCCCTCCCTTGCCAGTTCATGAGGTCCGCTGAAGCAGCAAACAACCCAAAGCACACCTCAATTACAGCGCAGCTCGACAAAACAGCAGTTTCCCTTTTTCCTTTTCTTTTTTTTGTATATATGTGGGTGCACGCGCGCGCCGCAACAGACCTCTCTATCGACCGGAATAAAAAAAAAAACACAAGCAGACAGCGAGGGAGCGGACCAGCGGCGGTCTTGACCGCATTGGAAAGCGGAGAGAAAAGCCCGAAAAAAATAAGGTTAGCACATCACAGCTTGAAATGAAAAGCCTGTTGATGCCCCAGCGGAAACTATAGGCGGAACACACACACACACACACACACACACACACACACACACACACACCAGCACGCGCACATAAACAAGTTCCGACAAAGGGCGGCAAACACTCTTGTGTTTCTTTCACTGTGCCGTAACCTTTTTTTTTTTTTGGACGGGCAGAATGTCACGAGAGGCCAGAGAAACGTTCGCCGCAAGTTGTTTTTCCACCAAACAGGGGAAGGCGTCCGACAATAAAAGGGATTTCTATCAGGAGATGAGACACCTGTTGGGCATCTCCTTATCACCATTATCAGCGCCGCGTGGAGTGACTTAAGCGCCGGGGTTATCTGCCAAGGGGGTAATTAGAGTTGGCCAAAGGCTAATTTTAACTCCCGACTGGTTCAGTCCGACTGTCAAAAGCCGAGACTTAATTTCCGAGAAAGCAGCGTCTGTGATTGGCTTGTCTGGAGTCGCTTCCGTTAGCCGCGGTTCCAATCGGAGCGAGATGGCGCGCGGGAACCGAAAAAAAAAACCCACGCCGGGGGTGCTTCGCGAAGCTTCGCGAAGCTTTTTCAAACGAGAAGGAAAGCAAAGGACAAGCGGGAACAGACGAAGGCCCCGAAGGGAGAGAAAGCGAAAGCCAGACTGACCTTCCGGTTCATTCTTGATCAGTTCCTCCATCTTACGTTGTTTCAGTGTGTCCACCACGTCCGCCAGGCTCCCTTTGCGTCTCTCGGGGGTTCCCAGCGCGCCCGCCGCCGCGCCACCGTCGCCGCACGGCCGACCCCCGGCGCCACCTTCGTCTTTGCCCGGTGAGGTAGCATTGTGCAGGGGGTAAGGGCTCAGGGAGTTCCCCTTGGAGCCGTCCAGATCCTGGAAGGGGGGGAAAAAAATAATTCATGAATTACCTCCAAATAAGGACGGTCGGGAGGATCGCCATTCTTATCTCCTTATCTCGCTCCCTTTCTTCTCGCCTTTTTCTCGGAGCCCAACAACGGGCACGGAAATTTCGACTTTCATCCCTTGCCAGATTTTCGTTAGTTAGGGCACGCGTCTTTTCTTATTCTCCGCTGGAATCCGCTTTTGACGGACTTGGAGGTACTTGACAGAACCGGGACATGAAACAAAACAAACGCGAGCGTTTCGTTACAAAGCCTTCCGCCGCTCGGCTTTGAGCGGCGTCCAATGTTAGCTTGCGCGGCTCGTGAGGCCGAACTTCGGCGCCGGCTACTTTTGTCTCGCGCGACTGTTAATGGTGCGAAGATTTTGGAACTTTGTCAAGCTGTGAATTTATGTCAGGAATGAAATCACAAAAGAGTGAACAACTGGCACGACGGCGACAAAGTATCACGTAGCGAGCTAACGCTACGGTCTTCCCGCCAAATTGTCGAATAATGATCCCGCTGTCTTTACTGAACCTCGCAAAGCGACTGGAACCGGCTCCGGATTCATTTTGAACATTTTTTCTTTGGGATGAAGGGGTCGCGGGGTCGCGAAGCGTCACGGGAACAGCTTGAAGAGCGAGTCCGGTGCAGCCCTCAATCCAATCGAGGTGGCATTTGTTTGGAAGATTCAGCTAATACCTTCTCAGCCCAATTAACAGTGACACTGAGAGGCGACGGCGCCACCGATTCCACGCTGCAACCAAGCCGCTTCGGCAGAGCATCACGTTCAATTTTCCTCAAATCATGAGAAATAAAAGCAACGTTTGACACGATCATCACAGAGAGGGAGGTCAAGACTCCAAAACCAAGTGAGTCACTCAGTCAATCCGCCCGTCAGTCTGTCAGCTCAGCTCTTTGCATACAGACGAAGGGTCAATGGTCCACCCAGTTAATCTTTGGCTAATCTCAGCGCAAGGGCGGCAAACGCCACCTCCAAATCCACAGCGCACATCCAGGACTGTACTTGCGTTACATCTGATTAGACGCGTGCGGGGCCGACGGACGGGCGGGCGCACGTGACGGAGGCGCCACTCCGTTGATGTCATGAATATGGATTTAGGCGCGGATCGTTTGCAGATGATTAACTCGCCCGCCTGGAAGGGGGAACCTGACACTCGGATCACAGTCCACGACAAAGTCATCGGTGAGAAGCCGATGACTCGTTCAACAAAGAATGCCCCGCAAAATAGGAAATGCTGGTATAACTCCTCTGACGTCAGATTTGGAGATTGGCAAGATGGGTGCAGGCCCCGCCATTATCACTTGGGACTCGCAGTCCCCCCGCCCCCCCCCCCGCCCCCGACACTTGACCGACTCTCCCGCTTTCTCGCACTGCGATCCTGTGTTTTCACACACTCTGAATAAGTCAGCGCGCTCAATAATTCATTTATTCCGACGGCATTTCTGCACATGCATTGTGCGCCGAGCATGACGTGGTTACTGTGTAACTTAAAAAAAATTTTAAATAAAAAAAATTGCCAAACCAAGGCCATGTCCACACGGTCAAATTTTTACAAAGTTTTGACCTCACCCCAATTTAATTTCACCCAACTTTTTGGAAGACTTTCCTGTCATTATTGGGCGTGAGCAGTGGCTGACATTGTATTGGCGTTTTACTATTTTCCCAGCGATCTCGAAATGGTTGCAAAATGCATCGTGACTGTGGCTCTCCTTTCCCACATGGCAGGGCATAACTCCTAAAAAAAAAATTTTTTTTGAAGCGATATGCCGCAGATTTTCGCGACGACGTGACTGATTCCTAATGAGCACGTCAAGATCAAAATAAAACCGTGATTAATAAAACCATGATTAAGACTTTGCTCGAAGCTTTGGAGGTCAAGTCGCCTTTCCAAACCAAATTTTCTTTTTGCACTGAGAGGGGTCGAAGTAACTTTTTTTTTTTTCTCCTTGGTCGCATCCTTCCTTCCTCGCGTCCTCCTTCCACCCTCTCCTGTTCTCCAGATTAGGGTAATTCGCACTTCAAAACGAGCGTCTGTGTGATTACGGGTTGCATCATGGCGAGCGCACGCCATGCAAATGAAACGAGGCGGAGGTAGACTGGTAAGAAAGCGCGGGGGGGGGGCGGGGGGCGATGTGGGAAGTGGGGCGGTAAAGAGAATGAGCGAGGTGATGTTATTAGAGGAAATGAGCGAGTTGACAGAACGAGGGAGCGGGGAGGGAGGGAAGGAGGCATCTTGAAGGCAGCGGTCACACCTGTCACATCCCATTTATCTAATCCGGCGCCTACTTAAAACAGACGCGCGCACTTTTCTTTCGAGAAAGATGTCGCGCAAACAAAACAAAACAAGAATGAGAGAAGTGTGTGGTGGGGGGGGGGGGGACAGGGACGTGGGAGATCGAGAATCTGCCACGGAGATGTCATGTCGTTCGACAACCAAGGTCATTTCCCGGCGGAACCTTGCCCCCCTTCAAAAACAAAAAAAAAAACTCTATTAGGGTCCGTTGCATTACGCGTGCGTCAAGTCAGATCGACCGACAGCCTCATCCCAAAGGCTCCGTAAATGGAGGACATAATCCACGCGAGTGACATTTTGTCGCCTTGCCATTTGCATGCAAGACAAGAGAAACCAGAGGGAGACTTTCCAATGCGGGTGTCAGTCAGGTGCGCCGCCGCCGCGCTCTTCCTCGGCTAACGCGATTTTTGCAACTTTTTCCTCATCAGCATGCATTTATTCAAGTGCGCCAGCGCTTCCCCCCCCCCCTTTTTTTTTTCCTGCCCTCTCCTCTTCGCCAGTGAGCAAGTTGTGCCATTTGGTTTGACACCCAGATAGCCTGCAGGTGTGCATGGTGGTGTGTGCGTGCACACCCGCGTTTCACGCCGGCTGCGGCAGCCTGGCAGCGTGGGCGGTTCTGCCTTTAGTTTGCAGATGTCAATTCTCTTCCAAATGACTGGAACAAAGTAAAAAAAAAAAAAAAAAAATTTAAATCGCGCCTCGCTCGGCTTTATCCCTTTACTGCCTCTGCAATGGAACCGAATTAGGCAACTTTTGTCTGAAGCTCATCTGCTTCAAAAACACTTCGCTCTTGCCAGAATCCAAAACTCTCCCGTCGCCCCCCAGAGCCAACACAGCCCCTCAACCCCCCCAGCTTACACACATCCACACACACATGCTCTCTCTCTCTCTTTTTCTACGCTCTTGCCTGACATGTCTGGGGCTGTGCAAGGTGCATGCGTGGAGAAACAATATTTGATGCTTGGCGCGTCGTCGTGGATCAAGACACGAAACGGAGCCGGAAACAACCGCTCGACTAAAATACGCTCACACACGCGGGACGAGATTGTCACCGATCGCTCCTGCGGGGAGTTAAAGACTTAGCTCCACGCCGGGGCTGCCAATCTTCCAACGGCACACTCGGCAGCCAAACGCACACCCGCGCGCACGTGCTCACCCGCGCACCCGCAGTAAAACCTTTTTTTTTTTATTTTTTTTTTTAAACATGCCACAGCTCTACGCTGACCCTGTCGGTTTGGACTCGGAGGTCGTCAAACTCAAACCGGGATGAACCGTTCGACTCTCATTTGGTTCGTAATGTGCGGGCAAGAACCCGGAAAGGGGGGCGGGCTGAACCGGATTTTATCTGGAGCCGATCGAGTTTGAGCTGCAAGGCACGTGATCGGGTTCAGGCACTCCAATGTCATTGTCTCGGGTTGTAATTTGATGAAGGATCATGTTAACTGCTGATTCACCCTGTCATGCACCAATAATAATAACCTTATAACCTGGTAAACTTTCCGCTGCAGTGACCGCTGTCCCTGAATGGGTTGAAAAAAAACCACAAAAGAACCGATAATTCATTATTAAGTCGACAAAACTTGATCAAAAGTAATTGAGAGCTGTGTCGAATCTCGTCAACAACTGCGGTAAACCAAATTGAATCCAGATCTGATCCTGATTAGAAAACAATGTAAACACACCACATCTAATTCCATGTTCAGAAGGATGCGTTTGTACTTTCGGATTGTCCAATCAGCAGTTGCCAGTTTTTTAATTTTTTTTAATTTTTTATTTTGAACCTGGGTTTTGGGAACAAGCATTGGCTGTGTTATTAATATTTAAAGGAGCCTTTTTTGGGGGGGAGGGGGGGAGAGCCTGAAAGGTGGCTGTTTTCTCCATATTCCCGAATATTACCCCCGCATATTTCAACACGACGGCGATGATTTATTAGCCTGTTGCTGGCATGTGAAATAAACCGCTGCATGGCAAGACCGCTTGGTGTGAAATCTGCCCGGCGATAGGCAACACCAATCCACAATGGCACCCTTGAAAAATAAACAAATAAAAAAAAAAATGCTGATAGATTTGTCTTTGCGAAGCAATTAGCGCTGGGATGCTTGTCTCTGCCTCAATTGCAGTTTTTTTTTTCCCCGCAAAGATATGCTAACATAAAATGATCCCCGAGCCACATTTGATTTGGTGTTGCCGCACCTCCATGATCGAATCTTTTTTTATTATTTTTTTTAAAGATCCAATCGCACGCTTCCTCGCAATAAAACGGCCTTTTAGCCAGATTACAATCGCTCGGAAACTATCGTAAACAGCAGCCTTCATAATCGAGAGGTTCCAAAATGAACCGAATGCAGTTAAGTGAAATATATGTACAGCGCGCATGTGTGCGTGTGCGTGTGCATGTGTGTGTGTGTGTGTGTGTGTGTGTGTGTGTGTGTGTGTGTGTGTGTGTGTGTGGCAGGTAGGCAATGCTGCAGGGCGAAAGGGATGAAGGGGTCAGTCCAGCGCTTGCACGCCCCCGTGTTAATTTATCCCCCCAAACCCCCACTCAACCCCACCAAACTCTCCACTCCCCGCGGTATCCCTCCACGTTTCGCTGACAGTCAGCGGCGGAAGGGATTGCCACTCTAAACCCTCTTGGAGACGAAATGGAAAATAAAAAAAATTGAGAGGAAAAAGCTCACACGCCAATACTTGTCGCCTTTCAGCTTTGAGATTAAACTACCAAAGGCGGTTCGGCGGTGTCACTCCGACAAGAGAACGTGGCACTTTGAGAGCGGCAGTCGTTATTGGGATCAGCGGCTTTGATGGGATGTTGAATTTCGTCGATAATTTGCTGAGAAATGAAGAGAAAGAATCCATTTCCTAGGAGGATGACATCCCAAATCACTTGAACCCTCGCGTTTATCTCCGTTTGCGATCCCTGCGCTCACGGCCCCCAGGACTTTGGTTTATTGTCAAGCGCATGCAGAGTCCACAATCGGGAGGGGCCCGCTGCCTAATCAGCTGGCTAATTACAAAATTAGCTCTCTATTATAGACGCTAAGCGCCTGTTCATTGTTTTACGGCGCGTTGGTATGAGCAGCATGAGGTGGGGGAAAGGTTGATTTGTTTTATAGGCGAGGACACATGATGACGCACGCTAAATGTTGCCCACAGCTCAGCGTAGATTTGAAAACACACCGCGGTTCATGTTTATTGTCCGGTTCCTGACGTTCCTGACAAAGTTATGAGGATGTTATCGTGCGGAGGACTTTTCCCCGCACACACAATATCAAATCTTTACAGGAGTGGTGATCCTGGTCAAAAGAAAGATCCGTTTGTGCGCCTAGGAAGTTTGGAAATGAAGCCCCCCCCCCAAAGGCAGTTCCAATGAGCAGCATGAAATTTGGTGAGCGTGCCGATCAAGAGTAGACCCACACAAAAAAAAAATTCTTGAGAACCCATGACAACATGAAGTCTGTTATTTTGGTTTGAATTCGCCCTATTCTGATCGTTTTCACTTTTCCTTTTCCAAATGTAGCCTCTGAAGCCAGGTTCATGTCAAAACGTGAAACTTGGTCGACAAACGGTCGCGATCGTGAGGAGCCCTCCAAAAAAAAATGTCTCTAGAACCAACGACTGAAGTCTGCCATTTGGTTTGAGCTGGCCATTTTCGGATCATTTTTTTACGTCCATGAAAGAAAGATAAGTCAGCCCACAAAATCAGTTTCACATAATGCAAAACTTGGTTGACGTGTCTATCAAGAGTAGACCCACAAAACAAACTTACTGTGAAGCCATTTTGGTTTTATTTTTATTTTTTCTTCAACATTCTATCCAATTTGTATCAAATCTTAAATCAAATATACTCAACGGACAGGCAACATAAAATACAACCAAAAAATGTGACAACCGCATCAAGCATGATCCTATTAGTCACCCAACAGTGCAAAGACCAAACATCTCTGTGAAGAACCGACTCTCTCAAAGGCATCCATTGATAAACGTTTGATTCAACACGGTGACTGTTTTTCAATAGAGGGTGTGTGCGCTAACGGGGGGGGCGCCATCATTGCGCGGTTTGGCTGGTCTGCTCCGATTTTTGATGACTCGCCGAGCCCGAGCCATGACACTGTAACCAAACCCTCATGCAACTATCCACCTAGCATCGGGGACGCGCCGCCCAATGTCACACTTCATCCCGCGCGCCGTGAATCACCGCCATGGCTCACGTTTCGCAGTCACGCAAATGCGCGTCAGAAGGGGCTCCAGGCTCACGGCTGGTGGCACGCACATGACGGCGAAAAAAAAAAAGTGTGTGGTGTCCAACAGTAGCCCTCAACCTTCTTTTCCAATAGTCAGGGGAGAGCCCCAGAAGGAAATTGCATCCAAATTGAACAATTATGTTGATGCCGCTTAAGGCCTTCAGCATCCACGTTTCCTTCTTATGTTTGGATTACCACGTCCAAAATCTGATATGGGATGCGCATGGAAGATGAGGACAGGGATGATGACAGCCTCAAGAACTGCACTCCACACACGCGGGCTACCGGTGGACGCTCTCCGCCGCTCCCAAGTTCTTACCGTGTTGTTGGGGGGGCTGTCCAAGGTCCGAAAAGGGGGCGAGCGCGGGGACACCTTGTTGCAGTAGGACGCCAGGGGGAGGTGGATCACACCACCCAGTCCCTCGCTCTCCTCATCCTCCACTCGCTGTCTGCTGGTTGCTATGGTTACCTCTCCATCTGTCCCCCCATATGGAGAGGCTGGTCGCTTGGAAGACATCCTGGGAGCCACAAAAAAAAAAAAAAAAAAAAAAGGACAACAAGGAAGGTAGAATGACAGAGAAGAAACGGGTTACTTGGGATTTTGACAGTAGCGTGAAAATCAAAAAGAAATTGAGGGCGGTCGAGTGTCTTCCGGTCCCCACAAGTACTTTTCAAAATATGATGTGTGTCCTGCGGGGACAAAACAAGTAACTGTCCACCTGGAAATCCATTTTGCGTGCATCTCTTAGCAACCCCTAACGATGACGCCATTCCCACTCGAAAAAGAATTCAACACCAGAAACTTGTTTTCAACCTCAACCTGTGGTTGCGCCTGCCCCCGTGATCCGACTCCGATACTGCGTTTGTGCCAGAAAATATACTTCAACCATGAGTTCCTTACACTCTGCACATAAAGGCAGGAAAAAAATGAATGACCAACGGGATGATTTCATATGCAGCCCCGACGGCGACAATCATTCGAAAAAAAACATACATGGAGGTTCAAATATGAAGACAACGAAAAATCGCCGTCTTTCTCGACGACTTGCATTCAGGTGCAAAAGCCCTTCAGCTCTTTGGCGGACCTTCAAACTCACTCTTTCCAGTGTGTTTACGTTTTTTTCCAAAAGACGGGGGGGTCATTACTGCAAATGAAGCCCGCTTGCACTGGCTTTGTGCGGGAAATCACCGCGTCTTGACAATGGGCTTTCAGTGACAGACACCGAGTGGGAACGGGAAGAAAATAATGGACACGGCGAGCGAGAGACAGAGCCAAAGAGAGAGAGAGAGGGGGGGGGGGGAGAACAGTATGAACACTGACAATAATATGCGTTTATGAAAACCTCTGGACAATAGAGGGACTGGAGGAAAATGGGCGAGCAACACAAGAGCCCCGCTGTGTCAATTTGTTACCGCGGCTTTGTTCCCTTGAAAAAGAAGCAAAAGGATATAAAGCCACATCTATTAGGTGAACTCTCCTCGCAAGGTAAATTTGCCTCCGCCGTACTCCAGTTGAATAGAGATGCAGTGACTATGCAGCAATAATAGAATTTAATGCGGTTCTCAGCGTCGGCTGAGTGCTTTCAGATGCACTTGTCAGCCTTGAAGCCACTGCGACTATGACCCTGGGTAATAGGCAGCTAACGGGCTGCCTCCCTCCCGGAGGCAACGCACGGTCGGGGATTGAAGGCGACTTGTGCGGGTGCGCGCGCGTGTGTGGGGAAGTCGCCGAAATAAGCAACAGGTATCCGACTTTTCATCTCTTTCGCTTCTGCTGCTTTCTTCCGACTATTTCCTCACCGGTCGTCCTCTCCGTTTGTCTGCGCTAAACTGATTAGCCTCTATTGGATTTCTTTTGGACGGCGTCTCTGGCATTGCTCCGAGGAGCAGCCTCCGCTACTAATTCATGGCTTATTTACCTTATGACAGCCAAAGTCAAACAATCTCCAGTGCTGCCCGCCCGCGCTCGGAAAGAAAAAAAATGCGGCGCTAGCGCATAGCAAGAGGGGGAAAGCGACGGTCGAAACGCAATGCGGGAAAGGGACCTTTTCAAGGAAATCAAGCCTCTAATTTGCGTCGCCGCAGAGACAACATCCGCGCTTTCCAATCATTTCATCTTTCAGGACCTCAAGTGTGTTGACAAATTCAGTCAGTGTTTCACTTTGTTTTCAGTCCTAACGCATGACCCGATGCGATTATTTGGAATTGAATCAAACCATTACCGAAACAAGATTAAGGCGCTTGGTCAAATTGTACTCAAGTGAACTGGATGGTTCAAAACAATTTGTCTTTTCTCCAACGTATGGAGTCATTGCGCCATTTCCGGCGGCGACTTTCTCCGGGGGGGCTTCTGATTGACTCAGGGGGCCTTCCATTTCGGGGTTATATCACCACCTGTTGCTTTGGCCCGCAAAACGTGACTTCACATCTAACGGAGCTTTTCTTAAATGTCATCAAATGACATTTTTGGGATCCCGGAGTGCGGCAAATGTGACGTCAACAAAGCCCGGTGTGCAACAACGAGGCACAGATCCATGAAAAGTCAACGTGGCGGAATGTGCACCGCCGTCAATTTCTTTATCTGCGCCCGTTCCACCTTTGTGGTTCTTACTCAGCATAACCAGATGCCATAAATGATCCGTAACAAGTCGATGACAAAAGACTCCGGCGATAAACCCGCGCGCACAATTGTGCGCATTAAAAAGCGGAATCATTTCCAGATAACGATAAGGGTGCGTGGATCTTTGCGGTCCCGAGAGCCAACGCCGAGTGGTTAGGCCCAGCTGTGCAAACCGGAGCGCAGACACGCATGCAAGCATGCTCACATGCTTGCATACAACAGAGGTCCCCACACTGCAGGTCTGTCTTCATCACTGCCTGTTTACTTTACCTCCTTTCACTCGCTCACACTGAGGCCTTTTGTCTGGCGCGCACCCGCCAGGCACACACGTCCCCTTGTGTCCCGCGCGCACCTCTGCCTAATCATAACCCTATGTACACACACAGGCGCACGGCCCGGGTCACCTTTGAATCGCCTTACACACTTTCCGCCATAGGGACACACAGAAAAAAAAAACAAAAAAATGGGAGGATTTTTTTTTTTTTTTTTTTTTCCGGGAGTCTTCAGAGCACAGTAGCAACATTGATCACGTTTTTTGACAAGAGCGCACTTTTTGTGATGACTTTCTCCAGGAAGCCACCCACTCCCTCCTTTGGAAACTCGCAACCTCTTCCTCAGAGGGGAGCCCGTTTGCAACTCCTCTCCGTCTATAAAAAACCCCCCCCCCCCACACACACACACACCCCTACTCCCTTCCCCATAACTTCGCCCCACTTTGCACCTTTGAAGTGGAATTACTCCACAATTGGGCACGCTGTGCTCGCAGGTTACGCCGGCGACTTCATTAAAACCCGCCGGAGACCTGAAGGGAAAGCGCTTGAAAACGGGGAGTGACGCGAGGATTAACACAGATGACGCTTTCTTCACCCCCCACCACCCACCCCCTCCCACCCTCCCCTTCTTTGGTTTTATAAATTGGCAGCATGGGCCCAGGTCATAATTTGAGAATATTAGCATAATGTCTGCACTCAACATGTCAAACACACGACTCATCAGGCTCATGGTGGTATGAAAGGACCACCTCATACCTTATCTACATAAAGCTGCAGTGATATTCAACTCCTAAAAAAATTTTAAATAAACCCCGGAGAACCCCACGGAGTCAAATTTGGCCCCTATAAATTCTGCTACTCAATTGCTACCCTTAAATACCAAAGGGTCAAATTTGGCCCTAATCCTAAATTAGAACTAAAGTGTTGAATGTTTGAAAAAACATATGTTGGTGTTCAGTGAACATATTTATTGTATAATTCATAATTTTCCAAAGAAGAAAAGGGTTATTGGGTTCTCCAGGGTTAAGACATTTGTAAGTGGCCCCAAACTTTGGAATGACGCTGTCCGAACAACTCATGGCCACCCCGACAAACCCCAAATCAAATCAAAAAAATAAGCGTCTAATCTGTTATTTGTCTCCTCTGTTACAAATCACCGACGCCCCGACCGCACGCACACGACGGCGCGCACGGCAACAACGCTAAACTCAGATTAGAACGCCCGCTTTCCCCCCTTTGGCTTTTTTGATGATTAGCGGCTCCTCTGTTAAATCGCTCTCATGTCGCATATGTCCGCCGCTGCTAAGTCACTAATCGGGACGGGGGACGCGCGTCCATTAACCGGACGCGTAATCGCCGCGCACGCCGGGGTTAACCGTCACCGGGCCGTAATCAAGTCACGCCGCTCGGCGCTGGCACGTCACGCCGCCGCGAGGCTTAAATACATACGGCCGGCTTATGAACACACACTGCGCAAAAATGACGGCGTAAAGCGGAACGGATCGCGCGCACGTGAAGGCGAAGGAAACAAAAAGTCACACTCTCCGGTCGCTCGCACACGTCGAGCGCCGGCCGCTAACGTCATCGCGGCGCTAACTGCTCTTGTTAACCCCCTTTTTCAGGGAGCGTGGGAGCCCCCTCTGGAGAATTCCGCGCGCCGTAAAGTGAATGTGCATGTACAGCCTCGCTTTAGATTACAAGCCGTATTTCTGCCGGGACACGAG